CCCCCCCTCCCACTTTCCCCCCCTCCCCCCAATAAAAATAAAAATAAGCTAACATTTCAAGTTAGTGTTGTTGTAGCTACAGGAATGAATAGGAGTGTGTGTGTGTTTTTTTTTTTTAAAAAAGAGGAATGACGCGAAAACAGAAACCTCCCTCAGCAGCTGAGGTAAATTTGGACCGCAGAACTTTCTGGATCTGGCCTGCATTTGGCTCAACTCCTGAGAAGTAGTGTAGTGTAAACCCAAAGAGGAACCAGGTTTAAAGGGCGGGCTGGGCTCCTGGGTGCAATCTGCTTTCAAAAAATAAAAATAAAATAAAAATAAAAATAACAACAGGAGCTAAAGCCACATAAGCCTCCGAGGATACGAACGGAGTTGGGTCCGAAGGTGGCCGGAGAAGGTGCCTTTAACCTTCCTTTTTTCTTTTCCCTTCGGAAAGAAAAAAATATATATATTTATTTTTTTTAAAAAGGGATGAAGAACCCATCCACAGACCTCGTATGAAATTTGCAGTCGAGTCCCATCGCCTCCAGTCGTCGTTTCATTTCTCTGCACTACTTTAAAACCTGTCCTTAGGAATTCTGGAAAAAAAACAAACCTTAAATCGCTGCTTATGTCATGCTTCATGATTGATTCTTCATCATCATCGTGGGTTTTTTTTTTAAAAAAAAAAACCTCACCGCGGTCGTCTCCCTCCCCTCCCCTCCCTAGCCCAGCCATGTTTTTCACTACCACAAGTGACATAATTACATAGTTCCGACGTATTTACAAAATATTAAAAAGTCTGTTAAGTCTCCTACATATCGGACCCCGTCCTGCCATTTTACACATGCAACTAGAGGTTGGGAAGGAGAGGGGAGAAAAAGAGAGAGAGAGAGAGTTGGAAAACCGTCGCGGGGAGGAGAACCCGGGACAACCGAAAATCAGCTAAAAATCAAACCAAGGGGGGGGGGTGTTTTTTTGTGTGTGTTTTTGTTTTTTAAGAAAAAGACTAAATTAAAACAAAAAAAAGTTAGCTCTCAAGTCAACGAACGAGCGGGGAGGGGGCGTTTTCTGGTTCGCCCCCTCGCGTCCCGGAAAAGGAGGTGCAAAGGGAGGGGGGAGGAGGAGGAGGAGGAAGTGGGCAGCCCCAGGCTGAAAAATTTAAAAAATATATAATTAAAGTTATAAAAAAAAAAAGCCTAAAGGGGAGAAAAAGCAGAAGGGGAAGCATTAGCGCTGGGCATGTTTTGAGAAGGGCTGAAAAGACTCGCCTTCCCCGCGGATCATTAAAGCAGCCTCCTCAGCAAGCCGGGAGAAAAACAACAGGGCGGCTGCTTTAAGAGCCACCCGTATTTGGAAATGGGGAAGAGCCCTGGAGGGAGATGACCGGGAGCAGAAGAAAGCACAAGGCAAGGCCTTGCAAGTTTAAAAATAAAATAAAATAGGAAAACCAGCAGAATCCAGTCACTGGAGGTGGGGGGTGGGGAGGGCAACCGAAAGAGGAGAGGTGCTAGCTACATTTCTACAGGCAGGGAATTGGGAACGGATATGCCCAACACACGAAGGGGAGAGGGTTGGGAGGGAAGGGAGACTGGCCAACGTTTTGGGGGGCCGGGCGGCTGTCGGGCCCCCCTCCGGGGGAACTCTGAAAGGAAGGGAAGGGGTCTGTCCTGGCGTCCTCTGGATCAAGAGAACGAAACGAAAAAGGCGAGCAGGGAGCGTGGGAGGGGGGGCTCAGTAGGGCAGGGTCGAGTCATCCCATTCCAACTGCTGCTGCCGGTTGGCGTGCTGGGGGTCCTCCTCCTGCTCGCCCCCCTCCTCTTCCTCCTCGCTGCTCTCCGATTCGGCGCTGGTGATGTCGTCTTCCTCGCCCCCGTCTTCGCTTTCTTCCTCCTCCTCCTCTTCCTCCTCGCTGCTGTGCTGGTCCTCATAGGTCTGGGAAACGGAGAAACAGTTAAGTCTCTCGAAGGGGTCTCCTGATCGGGGGGGCACCTTAAGAGAGAACCCCAGGGGGACGTTCGCCTTCTCTCTAGTCCCATCCTGAGATTCAAGTCTCATCGGAGAGCAATTCTCAAGAGCTAGGGGGAGAACAGAAAAGACCGTGGGAGAAAGAGCGGAAAGAGCACCACTAAGAGATATTTTGGGTGAAAGGGAGTGTGCGTGTCATGGAAACTGTCAAATAGGCTTAATGCTGCTTTTCAACACAAAGGCCCCCGAGCTCACCTCAAAAAGGTGGGACTCAAATCCCGGCCCCGCCCACGACAGCCCCGATAAACACAACTCAAAGTTATAATGAGAGTTATCAAGACGAAGTCTCAACCCAGAGGCCTTACCTCCATGGGGTTCACCGTGATGGTCAAGGCAGAGTCATCCCAGTCCATCTCGTTCTCCTTCCCGGAGTCCTGGTCCCGCATCGTCCGCTGGTGGGCCGCGCGGATCCGGAAGACCCCCAGGATGATCATGAAAACCAGGAAGCTGATGCACACCACAATCACAACTGTGGCGGTGCTGGGAACCACTGGGGACCAGAATGTTCAGAAGAGGTTAGTTAGGTTTAACTAGAGGACGGGAAGCACAGCAATGCATTTTTTTTAACCTGTTCTGGGGAAGGGTAGTTTGAGACAACGGATCTGGGGGAGCAGATTTTACAGGGGTGTAAGCAGAGCAGCAGAACGGGCTAACTCACATACCGGGGATCTAGTTCCCAGCTGGCATATTTACACAGAAGTCCAAACACTTCACAAAAATGATCCTCTTCTCTCAATTGCTATCCCTTTCTCAAGAGCTGGAAGATCCCAAGATAGGCAGGGACCAAACAGTGTAATTTGCTGTCATTTTTGTGACACGGTGGCAACAAACAGGAGGCTGACCTCACGAGTTTGACGATGGGACGTTCCTGAATATCATCCTTTTTTTCTGCTTGATTTTTTTTACAACAGGCATGTTTCAGGAAGCTAGAGAGCTGTTCCTGATCCCAGCAGGAGGGGCTAAATTTAAGCGCTGACCAGATGCAATTGGCTTAATGCGGTGTTTCCCAAAACTTGAGCAACTTTAAAGAGGGGTGGACGTCAACTCCCGGAATTTCCTAGCCAGCACGGCTGGTTGGGGAAGTTTAGGAGATGGACGTCCACCCGTCTTAAAAGTTGCCTGGGTTGAGAAACCCTGGTTTAATCGAATCTCAGCAACTGCCTCTCCGAAAACGGGAGAGCGGTTGGAAATGGCAACGGGGAGATTCAAGGAAAGCATGGTGTCCTTACCGGAAAACCCCGGGTGAGGGTTTACGAGATTGTGGCCAGAGAGGTCAACAAAAGAGTGATGGACAGGCTGCACAAATTGGGGCTGCTGGGCAGCAATGTGGCTGGCGTGTTCCATGACGTTAGCCGTGTGGATGACGTTCACCTGGCACGCAAAAGGTTGGAGAAAGGGGAACAGAGAGTTTTAGGAGATCAGCAGAACAGACCTGATTTCATTGTTCGTTCTCTCTCTCTCTCTCTCTCTCTTTCTCTCCCTCCCTCCCCGTCTCTCTCTCTTTCCTTCCTTCCCTGTCCTTCCTTCCTTCCTTTTCCTCCCTCCCTCCGTCTCTCTCCCTCCTTCCTTCCCTCCCTCCCTCTCCCCTCTCTCATTATCTCACCTTCCCTCCCTCCCCTACTCTTCCTCTCTCTTTCCTTCCTTCCCCTCTCCCTCCCTCTTTTTCTCCCCTCATTCTCTCTCTCTCTCTCTCTCTCTCTCTCTCTCTCTCTCTCTGTGTGTGTGTGTGTGCCTTGCTGACTGCTCTATCTTTCCCGATCTGACGGTCCTCTTCCCCAAATTCCCCCATGGCTAAGACTTTTGGGAGTTGAAGTCCACCATCTGGAAGATGCTCAGTTAAGAGAAACAGAGTTCTATGCCTGTGATTCTTAAACCGATTGGGGTTATTAGTCATATCAGGAAAGAAACCAGAATTCCAGAGGTGCTACTTTTTTTGTTGTTGTTATGGGGTTAAAAGAAGAGAAACTTTGCCCCCTCTTATACTCAGCACACTCGGGGGAGGTTATTTTGAACAGGATGAACTGGTGGCTTCTCCTCCTGCGTTCAGCTCCATTAAAAACACAGGGTCTACTTCTGTTCCAACAACAGAAAGCCGCAATCCATTCCGTTCCTCCGCGGGGAAAGGCCCAGTTGCACAAACCCCAACAATCCTGAAGCCGAACCGAAGAGGAGGCTCCTTCACT